TAGTGTTTGGAGAACTTTCAGCTTGGTGAATAGGTAGAGGTAGGTGCAAGGAGAGTAGCTTGCCTGGAGAGGTCATCAAAGATCTGCACACTTTCTGCATACCTTACCCTCTGGTTCTCTTCCATCTGGTGGTTCCTGGGTTATATCCTTTTATAATAAACTGGTAATCTAGTAAGTAAATTGTTTGAGTTTTGTGAGCCACTCTAGCAAATTAATTGAACCCAAGGAGGGAGTCATTGTACCTCCACAGTCTGAAGCCATTGGTCAGAAGCACAAGTGACACCTGGGCTTGTGACTGGCATCTGAAGTTGTGGGAGAAGAGGCAGTCTTATAGAGATGAGATCTTAACCTATAAGATCTGATGCTACACTATCCAAATAGATAGTGTCAGAATTGAACTGAATTATAAGACACCAAGCTGGTATCTGAGCATTGCTTGTTGGTGTGGAGAAAGTCCCCTTCATTCATTCGAATTGGTGATCAGAATCATGAAATACACAGAAATTTCTTTTTTTTTTAAAGATTTTATTTATTTATTTGACAGCATGTGCACAAGCGGGGGAGTAGCAGGGAGAGGGAGAAGAAAGGAGAGGGGCTCCCTACTGAGCAAGGAACCCTATGTGGGGCTTGGTCCCAGGACCCAGGATCATGACCTGAGCTGAAGGCAGACGCTTAACCTACTGAGGCACCCAGACACCCCAGAAATTTAATTCTTTAGGCATTAACTCTGTGCTTCTAACCTCTCCTTTGAATTCGTAGCAATTTTTTTATCATGCATTTCAGTTTCGGTGTACAACCTTAGGCATCTTATACTTTCTTTACTATCATTTTGTATCTGTTGTTTCACTATATATGTGAAATATCTTATGGCTCTAACATGAGTGGATGCTTTTTAAAGCCATGGGCTTTTACCTTACATGAATATGCTTGTTTTATAGTTCAAAGTATTCCCAAAAATTGCTTTCTTAAGCAAATGGAAGAAAAATTATTGTGTCCTCACTTGTCTGCATTTTGTTCCCATGATTTTAAATTGAAAACTCAAACTCAGCCATTATCTCGGCACTAGATGGCACTTGTGCATCACAACTAGTCATGCAACACCTAACAGTTTTTCTGACAAGTGAATGATCCACAAATGTAATGTTTGGAATCCCTGCATGGACATTCCTGAGAATAGGAAAATGAAACAGGAGGAGACCTACTAAGTACCAGTTGCTTTGAGGTATTTTTAAATACATGGTTGAAGAATATTTTAAATTCATAGTCATTATTTCATAGTTTTATCAATAGTCTGGTCTCCATCCTTACCTTCTTAGCCTAATGTTGCCATAAAGTTGAAATTTGTCTCAGGACCTGTTTGCTATTTATCATGGTTAATTGTGAGAGAAATGATTAGTACAGCTCTCTTACACTTATTCATACCCACCTCTACACACTTTTTCTTTTGTAGGACTTAAGAAAACGTGTGGCTTTGGCTCACTTAGGAACCCTGTAGATGTCACTGAGAACACTGTTGAAAAACACAGAAGTGCAAAGATGTTAATCTCCCCAGCATTAATAGCTAATAGGTAGACAGAACCTATATTCAACTCAAGTCTGTTGAGTTTTAGAGCCTGTGTGTACTCTTTCCCATACTCTGATGTTGCCAGGGTTAGCCAATACCCATTCATGTTAAAATAGCTGGATGACTAGTGCAAGTGACTGATGTTGGTTTCTTTCTCTTATGAGAGATACAACTCAGTGCTCAAGAACAACCCAATTAAAAAATGGGTCAAAGACACGAACAGACATTTTTCCAAAGAAGACATACAGATGACCAAACAGACACATGGAAAGATGCTCAACATTACTCATCATCAGAGAATGCAATTCAAAACTGTAATGAGATCACCTCACATCATCTGTCAGAGTGGCTAAAATCAAAAACAAGAAACAAGTATTGGGGAGTATATGGAGAAAAAGGAACCCTCATGCATTGATGGTGGGAATGCAAACTGTTATAACCACTGTGGAAAACAGTATGGAAGTTCCTTAAGAAGTTAAAAATAGAACTACCCTATGATCCAGTATTTATTTGTACTACTATTTACCAAAAAAATGAAAACACTAATTTCAAGGGATCCATGGGCCTCCTTACATTTATTGCAGCATTATTTACAGTAGCCAAGATATGGAAGCAGCCCAAATGTCCATCGACTGATGAATGGATAAAGATGATGTCATGTACACACACACACACACGCACACACACACTGAAATATTATTCAGCCATAAAAAAGAATGAAATCTTGCCATTTGCAGCAACCTAGATGGAGCTAGAATATTATGCCAAACAAAATAAGTCAAAGACAAATACCATATGGTTTCACATATTGATATGTGAAACCTAAGAAACAAAACCAATGAACCAAGGGAAAATAAAAAGATAAACAGACTCTTAACTCTAGGGAACAAACTGATGGTTAGTAGAGGGGAGGTGGGAGACGGGATTGGTGAAGTAGATGATGGGGATCAAAGAGTGATGAGCACTGAATAATGTATAGTTTTTGAATCACTGTATTATACACCTGAAAGTAATATACTGTGTAAACTATTCTGGAATTAAAATTAAAAACTTAATAAAAAATACTGAGAGATAGGGCAGCCCAGGTGGCTTAGCGGTTTAGTTCCGCCTTCAGCCCAGGGCATGATCCCATGGTCCCGGGATCAAGTCCCACATCAGTCTCTCTGCATGGAGCCTGCTTCTCCGTCTGCCTATGTCTCTGCCTCTCACTCTTGCTCTCTCTTTCTCTCTCTCTAATGAATAAATAAATAAAAATCTTTTAAAAAATACTTAGAGATAATAAAATAAAATGGAGGAGAATTAAATGCGTTAATGCATGATTAGCACATAGACTAGTACATGGCACATGGTAAACATTCAATAAATGGCACATGGTTAACCATTTGGGTGATTTTATGCATTATTTAACATGAGAAATGTCCATACTACTTTGTGTAATGTATGAAGTAGAATTTGAGCTGTAGGGCACCTGGGTATCTCAGTTGAGCATCTGCTTTGGGCTCAGGTCATGATCCCAGGGTCCTGGGATTGAGTCCTGCATTAGGCTCTCCATAGGGAGTCTGCTTCTCCCTCTGCCTATGTCTCTGCATTTCTCTGTGTCTCTCTCATGAACAAATAAATAAAATCTTAAAAAAAAAAAAAAAAGAATTTGAACTATGGCTAGAGTGGCCATACATCCCAGTTTACAGCTACTGTCCAGTAATTAGCACTTCCTTCTTATGCTAGAAAGCATTCTGATGAAAATAATAAGTTATCTGATCACCTTAGCCATAGCTAGCTTTGTTACAAAAGAGCTTTGTGCCCAGGGATTTGTTCTTGTAAGTTTATCTGAAGTGAAAACTCCTCCTCCAAGGAAAGATAACTGTTACCTTTCGACGTAGAATAGAAATATATGTGTACATATATTAGGATTCCTAACATTCTGGTGTTAAAGTCTCTGGCATCAAACTGCACTAAGTCTTTACTAATATAGCCTTGGGCAGTTTACTTCTTTAATACTAGGTGCTTTACAGTAAAATAAGAATAGCATTAGTACCTGTCTCTTGTAGTTGTGTAAATGAGGTAATGTATGTAAAGCACTACACGGAAAGTACATCATAAACGAGAGATGTACAGAGAGGTAGATATTTCACTTAAGCAAAAAGCTTTGTGACACAAAGCACTTAGATACATTGGAAGCTGAAGAATTGGAGTAGATGGCACTTCACTAAGGTCCTTTACGATGATAAACATCTAATGATTTTGTTTTACAAGTATCAAAAGCTATTCTTTTGTTGATTTTATATCATGGCAAATTTCAAACATTGGTAAAAGTAGAAAGTATAGTGTGAGAAAGCAGTGAACCCATAAGGTACCCATCACTTAGCTGTCAACAGTAGATGGCCAATCTTCATTTTATAACTTTCAAAAGCAACTTTAATGAGATATTTTACATATCATAAAATTCACCCATTCGGACTGTTTAGTCATTTGTACAAATTTGCCAAGTTATACAACCATCACCATAAATATGTTTTCAGATATTTTCATCCCCTTGACATTGAGTTATACCCATTTACAGTTAATCCCAATTTTCTTTTTTTTTTAAAGATTTTATTTATTCATGAGAGACACACAGAGAGAGGCAGAGACACAGTGGGAGAAGCAGGCTCCATGCAGGGAGCCGATGTGGGACTTGATCCCAGGTCTCCAGGATCACACCCCGGGCTGAAGGTGGTGCTAAACCACTGAGCCACCAGGGCTGCCCTTAATCCCAGTTTTTACTCCATTCCAAGCAACCACTGATCTCCTTTCTATCTGTGGATTTCTGGATATTTCATATCAGTGGAATCATACAGCATGTGATTTCTTGTGTCTAGTTAGCATAGTGTGTTTGAGGCTCATCCATAGTGTAACATGTATCAATTAGTTCATTTTTTTCTCTTGATGAATGTATTCCATTGTATAGGTAATACATGTTTTGTCTGCCTTCACGATGGCCAGTCTTATAGCATCTATATTTTTATACTTTTCCCTCCATTTCATACCCCTACTGAATTATTCAAAAGCTATTTTTAATTTCATGAATATGATAGCTTAAAACATTGATAGTAAGTTCTTTTTATATTTGTTTTCCCAAACATCATCTTTCTATCCTCTGCCATTCATCTTGCCTGTTTTAATTTGTTTTCTTGCTCCAGGAGTCTTTGTTGTTTGATGTTTTTGTTTTATCTGATAGTGAAGAGCTGTCTATTCCATAAACTTTCAAAGATAGAGATAAGTTCATCATTTCCTCACTTTAAGAACTTTAAACTTGCTCAGTGGCAAATCCAGATAGTGATGATTTCTAAAATCTTTCAATAAGTCTTTGAAGTAGGCTTCCATGTTGTATGTTGGGCTAGATCTGTTTATTTCTAATTATCATGGGTGTTTGTCTCTTTGTTTTGTTTTAACTCAGGTTGTTGGAAGAGGAGCCTTTGGTGTAGTTTGCAAAGCTAAGTGGAGAGCAAAAGATGTTGCTATTAAACAAATAGAAAGTGAATCTGAGAGGAAAGCTTTTATTGTAGAGGTAAGTTGAGATGTTTCCAATGTGTAATTCTTTACCTACGATACTCTATGGATTTAATATGAAAAAGTTGTTTCCCAATTATCATTTCTCTGTACTTGAGCCTAAGCAATTTGGTTGAACCAAAGATAATGCCGTAGAAACATTTTTCATTCACACTCTTAATTCTGATTAAAAATTGGGGCAAAGACTCTTAACTACATAAATGAGTTCATCCCTGAATTAAAATACAGTCTCATCTATGTAATTCAGATCTATTTCAAGGCATAGGATTTAAATTTTAAAATAGAAAAGAAATAGTATTCTTTCCTGTTATCTAAAATTAAGAAGGAAAATTTTATGCATTCATTTTTGGCTGAATATTTTTAGAAATTCAAATGAGATCACTTTACAGGGAAATAATTTCAAATTTGATTTTTTTCCTCATTTAGCGTGAAAATCTACAACTGTTCTCTTACAGATTTGATGATGGAGAATTCAATAATCATTAATTCAGTAATCAATAGTAATTATCAGATTTATTCTTTATTAATTTTTACTATTTTGTATATTAGATCGCAGTAGTTCCTTAAATTAGTGGTTTTGTCACTTTTTTTTCTCATTGGCCAATGGGTAAGTGTTCTTTACCTTACAGACCTTTCTAAATTTATATGTGATTAAATTTAATTATAATTTGAAAATATACTTTATGGTATTTTTAAATGTATAACATGGAGAATGAAAAGTGAGGTGGGATTTGATGAAGTAGATTTTTGTAATTAATTGAATGAGTTAAGAAATGCTGATAGCGGGCAGCCTGGGTGGCTCAGCGGTTTAGCGCCTGCCTTCAGTCCAGGGTGTGATCCTGGAGACCTGGGATCGAGTCCCACGTCAGGCTCCCTGCATGAAGCCTGCTTCTCCCTCTGCCTGTGTCTCTGCCTCTCTCTCTCTCTCTCTCTCTCTCTCTGTGTCTCTCATGAATAAATAAATTTAAAAAAAAAAGAAAGAAAGAAAGAAAGAAATGCTGATAGTTTGGGGTCCTCATGAAGAAAAGATGATCTCTAGTAGTATACTCCAAGAGTGGCCTCAGCCTTGCCTTATTCATGATTTTTGTTTATGGTTTAGGTAAAGGTCTAAAAGTGCATTGGCACTTTCACAAAACTAGCTAAAAGCATATGTATTAAATGCTAGGAATTAGGAGTTAGAAAGATAGCTGGGATAAAAAAAAATTTATCAAAGTTAATACGTGCAGGTAATTCAGACTGTCAAATAGTTGTCTACATAGTCTTATTTTTAAAACTTTAATCCCCTAGATCTCTTCCCATCATATTTTCTCCTTTTCAGAAGCAACTACTTTTGAGTTCATCCCTTAGTTTTGTTTGGTTCCCCAATCCAAAGACTTTTAGGTATATCAAAGAATTAACCACTAATCTTTGGGGTGATAAAGAGGCAGTCACTAAGCTGTTCGAAATCAGGAAGGGAGGGAATCCTTGGTCTGACTTTCGACTAATCTCTCTGTTCCTTTGTTAGCTTATTTGTACCACCACCACTCCCAACCCTTTGGAGGTTTTATGAGATTAATCTCATTTCTGCTTACTTTTTCTCATTTTTTTTTAAGATCGACTGAGTTAGTTATTACTAGTCATTTGCTTTCTAACTTCCAAAAATGTGTGCTGTTTTCTTATTTCACATTCTCTTCATCCTTCCGAGTTCATACCTTGAAAAAAATGTCTTTATTCTTGGATTTGGGGAAGGAGCAGGAATAAATGCTTAAATAATCTGCTATCCAAAGCTCAGTGCTAAACCTTTAGAAGATGAAATATTTAAGTGCAGATTTTAAGTCAGATAAACTAAAGTTCAAACCCTGGTGGTAGGATATTTAGCAGCTCACTTAATCCTTTCTGAGCCTTATCTTAAAATTAGTTCACTTTTCTTTAAGGTAGAAATGACAATACCTACGTTGCAGAGTTGTGAGAATTATACAGTATCTATAAAGTGCTGACCAGGGCCTGGCACAGAGTTTGGTAGACTGATCAACCACAGCTATGAAGGTGGTGACGGTAACATAGCTTCTTCTGCTTTGGATAACTAAGCTCAGTGCCATCTTTGGGATGGTGTCCTAACATTTTTTGTTGAAGTTTATTTTTTTTATTTGTACTTATCATGGCTTGTTCAATACTCCTGTTATAGTACTTTGCACTTTGCCTTAATTGTTTACGTCTGTCTCCCAAGTAAAGCATGAGAGCTCTAGGACAGGGAATCTTTGCCATTCTGGGTAGGCATTTATGACCACAGTGCCTGCTACGTAGTGAATAATGATTGTTGAATAGTTAAACTAATGTTTTGTACACCCTAAAATTGTAATGATGCTATGAAATCAATTCTCAAAAGTTAGCATCTTTTAAAAGAAACTTTTAATTTGTTACAGCTTCGACAGTTATCCCGTGTGAACCATCCTAATATTGTAAAGCTATATGGAGCCTGCTTGAATCCAGTAAGTTTGTCATTTTTTCATTGTCACCTGCCTATAAGTATTGACATGGTAAATGTTTGCAGGTGTGTAGCTTATGAACCTATTTTGATCTGTTATATTATTCCCAAAAAAAAAAAAATACACTTTATTTGTTTCTAGTCTGTTAGCAACATAGTATGTTGGAGGCATTATCTTGGGTGGTCTCATCCACTAACCTCATCTTATGAGGTTTATGACATTCCTTGACAGAGTCTACTCAGCACTGAAAGTTCTCAAAGGTCTTGCGATTGTTTTTACATTCACCTCCACTTTTATTATATATTATAATATCTATTATGTTATTTATTACATAATAATTTTGTAGTGGGCCCTACAAGACAAGGCCTTAGATCATAGGGCCTTCTTTTTCCATTAGTACCATTTACATAGTGGGGACCAAAAGAATAATTTTTAATGCATTTATAAAATTACAGATTGAACTAAGTTCTCTCAAGTCATCTAAGATGCTATAGCCCTGTGGTTAATTATACTGACATGTTTCTTTTAGGTGTGTCTTGTGATGGAATATGCTGAAGGGGGCTCTTTATATAATGGTGAGTGTCATTAGACCTGTCTTTATGTAGTAGAGTAAAATCATTGAAAAGCTTTTAATATACATTGTTAGTTACTTAATGTTCTTCACAGTTTACCTTCAGAATCTCAAAAGGAGGTAATTTAAAAGAAAAATCTGTTAAAGATTAGAAACGAAAAGATAAGATGCTGCAACATTAGTATGTGAAATTTAGAAGCCTATCAATCTTTTCAATTGATGGTACTTTTTATAATGTTGAAAGCATTAAAGTAAAATTTGCTTTTTAAATAGATTTTAAAATATCTTTATACTTTTCATGTTTTTCATTTGCCCGCTCTTATCTTTGAACCTCCTTATTTGAGAACTCTTTAACTGTACTTTCTTCCCTCTCTTACTACTTAATTTGCTCTCTTTACAAAAAATAAAATTGCGAAAACGCACTTCACAAAACATTTTAATTATAACAATGAAAGAAACAAGGTCATTTAGTTATAGAACAGAGATTTTTCACTCTTAAGAGACACCAGCCATATAGTAAATATATTAATGATTGCATTTATATAAAATAAATGTTGCATTTTATTTTTTTAATTAACGGTTTGTTTAAATTTTCATTTATATTTAATGCCCATGTATTCATCATAGTTAATGGGTATCTCTAACACTTGGTTGTCTTATTTGGTTGAACTATTTCTAGTTTTTAGCTATTGTAAAAAGCATAATTATATACATCTTGATGTACATTGTTTTATTTCCTTCCGTACTACTCTGTATCTCAGTGCTATCACATTGCCTATAATTTATATTATTGTGAAAGACTATCTTTTAAGCCGGAAAAGTACAGTAATTCATATTAATTTTGCTAGAGAGTGTGTATAACATTTGATAGAGGTACTATTACATTTTAGATACTTGTGTGGTAGTTCTCTATTTGAAATTATTAGATATTTCCATCTTTATATTTAGAAAAGAATTAAAAGCAGGACTGATGGGAGCATGTGTAGAAAAATACCCAGTCCTGTGTCCCAATGGTGCTCTCATTCACCTTGTGTCTTTTGTTATATGCAATAAAGTTCTTTTTAGTTTGTGCCTTTCTTTTGCAGTGCTGCATGGTGCTGAACCATTGCCATATTATACTGCTGCCCATGCAATGAGTTGGTGTTTACAGTGTTCCCAAGGAGTGGCTTATCTTCACAGCATGCAACCCAAAGCTCTAATTCACAGGGACCTGAAACCACCAAAGTAAGTTCTAATAGTGTGATGTCTGTCTCCATATCTCTCTCTATCTTGCCCCAACCCCTGCCCACTTCCTAATTCAAGCTAATTGTTGCACTTGACTGTCTCTTTTCTCCTCCCTTTTGGCTAGTTTGAAAGAGTTTATTTTTAACTCACCTTTGTTATTTAGTCATTTATCTAAGCTTGCATTTTAAAATACTGTCTTTAGTAGGATTTTAATTTTAGTCACATTTTTGTTATATTTTAATAACTCTTGCCATTGATTGGCATACTTCTATAATTGGCTAGCCTGTAAATCTTATTTTGTGCCTGCTGTATCTATTGTTGCCCCTAGACAGTCCCCAAGTTTATATTATTCCCCACTATATTCCTAATAACTAGTACAATGTCCATATATAGTAGACATTCTACAATATTTTACAGAGTGGTTATTATTTGCCATTTTAGAGGAAGGAAAATGGACATGTCTGACATCTGGGTAGAACCTGAAAATATCCTGGATTTCTCCTTATTAAGGATCATAGGACTTTAAAACTCCCCTAAATAAGTACATTAACAGGCTAATACTTTGGGGGTTTTTTGTTTGCATAGGTACTTAAATAAAGAAAACATACATGTGGTATTTTCCCCTTTCCTCTCTATTTTTTTTTTCTTTATCCACTTGTGATAGTAAAAAAAGTCCACATGCCATTCTCTCACTCCCCACCCCCGCCACTACATCAGTCCTCATATAAGAGGTTTCCCCTAGGAAATCAGTCTCAAGTATTCCATTCTCTTGATACAGGTTTAAAGCATTAAAGTGTCCTGTCTGGGTACAACTTGTCACTCTTATGTCTAATCTAATACGTTCTACATAGCTTTCAACTCTTGCAATGCCTGTTCTCACTAGTGTACATTATTCCTACTCTCAGACTTAAACTGATTTCTAAAAAAAAAAAAAAAAAAACTGATTTCTGTTTCCTAGGTCCCTGGTCAAATAATGTTTAAGACTCAGATTCATGATTCTTTTATTTTTTTACTTGACTCCTTGAGGCTATTGCCATAGCTACCTATCTTGGCCAATGAAGAAGAAATCATTTCATCTTTTTTACCTGTTTACGAAGATTGAATCATCTTTTGCTCCTCTTAATTAATATACAGCTGAATTATCAAAACAAATTCATGAGAATCATAGCTCTTATCCAGCCACAAATTGACTAATGACTCAGAGGATACAGGCAAGCATCAGGCATCTTTTTCTTGGAAGAGCCAGAAACCATCAGATGGAACTCCCAAAAGTATCCTGTTTCTTCTGCATTAGGTCATATTTTGGTTTTGGAATAACTGACTATTGTTAAACAATATACATGAAAATACCTCACAAAAGGAAGTCATTTCAGTTTTCCAACGTCTTTCCTATTCCATAATTATACAACTGAAATGACTACCTTCATTCTCCATCTACCCATATGCCATAAGTCCATAAATGTTAGATTTATTTAACCAACCTACTTAGATATGTCCTACTTAAATCATTTGTAGATATAGACTCTTCCTTTTGCTAATAGATACCATCAGTATAGTTGTAGGAAGTCTAGCCTAGGTCATTCATTCCTCTTAGGCATCCTTATGGTTGTACTCATTCTATAGTATTGCAGATTGTTTTTAGGACACCCAGTATACACTTTGGGCTTTAGAGTTAGAATTGATTTCTCAGAATGTACTGGAAAAAAGGAAAGTCTTTGGAATGGCTATGCTTTCATATATAAATTGTATACACAAGCACACATACTATATTACTGTCAGTGGAAAACCTGTGGATTCTGTATTAAGGAAGAGTGTTCCAGAGAATGGTGTATAAAGAAGGCACGTGATGATTTGATTAGGTATTTTATATAATTTCAACTTGTGTTTGTGCCCCTATTTTATTCATCTTTTGCAGGTTTGTTTGCATGTACTTCAAAAATAACAATGTGGTTTTGGTCCCAGCTGTGTGAATGTAAGCCTACAAAGATAATTTAGGTTCATATTTCAGTGAGTCTTGAATGTCATATTCATGGCTGGTGACCTATTAAAATGTTATGAGTGAAGGAGTACTAATTATAATAACATTAATATAAAAGTCATTCAGAAAAAAATTAACTTGAATCTACTAGGTAATAAAACGAGGAAAACCAGTTTTACAGTTCTTTTCTGGGTAAAGAGTAGTTAGAGCTGGAACAAGAACAATAAAACAGGCAATTTTTTGTTGAAGTGCATATAAAAGTAAATTGCCTTTAGCATTCTTTCCACTTCAGTTTTCATAGAAGTATTTTTGACATGAGATCTGTATGGTTGTTTATCTGGTTTATTTATCCTAGTCATGTTGGACTAAAAAGAAACTGATTTCTGAATAATCTTTCTAGTTAGAATTTTAATTTAAAATTATATACAGAGAATTTATAAAAACTGTAATTTCCGTGAACACCTCCCCCCCCCCAAATACTGCTGTTGAATATATTACTACAGTGTGATAGTACAAATTATCCTTATTTCTGTTTGTCATCCAAAGGAAAACCTAAGTAAGGATATATACTACTTGGTGATTGAACTTGGGTGGTATAGCACCTAGGAAAATCAGAATCTTAAGTTCAGAAAATTTCCTGGAAACCTCCCATTAAGTTACTTTATTATTTAAAGATTTATTTATTTATTCCTGAGAGAGAGAGACAAAGACATAGGCAGAGGGTGAAGCAGGCTCCCTGCAAGGAGCCTGATGGGGGCTCAATCCTAGGACCCTGGGATCACCACCTGAGCCCAAGGCAGATGCTCAACCATTGAGCCACCTAGGTGCCCTTCATTAAGTTATTTTAACTGTAATAAAGTTATGCTCCTCCCACACACACACACTTCGAACATAAGAAACAGTTTTGAGATTCAACATTTTTAGAAGTATCTTAAAAATAAAGACATTCGGGGAGCCCCGGTGGCGCAGTGGTTTAGTGCCACCTTCAGACCAGGGCGTGATCCTGGAGACCCGGGATAGAGTCTCACATCGGGCTCCCTGCATAGAGCCTGCTTCTCCCTCTCCCTGTATCTCTCTCTGTGAATAAATAAATAAAATATTTTTTAAAAAAATAAGGACATTTTTTTCCTTTTCCTGTATACATTTATTTTACCTTTTTAATTAAATTATATCTTGTTGGGACACCAGAATGTCTCAGTCAAGTTGAGTGGCTGCCTTTGCCTCCAGGCATGATCCCGGAATGCCTCCAATCAAGCCCTGCATCATTGGGCTCCTTGCTCAGGAATCTGCTTCTCCCTCTTCTCCTCACCCCACTTGTGTGCACGTACACCCTCTCCTCTCTCTCTCTCTCTCTCTCTCTCTCTCCTCAGATAAATAAAATCTTTAAAATAGATGAATAAATAAATAAATATGTAGTTATTTTCAAATAATATATGTTCATGATTAAAAACAAATTCAAATAGAAGAATATAAAGCGAGTCTTTCCTGCCTCCTGTTTCTACTCCTCAAAGGTAACCACTATTTTGTTTTTTTAATCATGTGTGATTTATACTTTATATAATGTTGCTTTTTTCACTTACATGGACATCTTTTCATATCACTGTATTCAGATATTTACCGTTCTATTTTTAGTAAATAATATTCCCTGTTACTCCTGGTAAATACTCGAAACTATTCTTGATCTTATAAATAATCTTAGACTTGGAAGACTTGATTTTTATGGCTGTTTTTAGAAAATATACTGCTACTGAATTATTTGATACTTTGAGATTCTGCAAAGTTTTTAATGCCCTAAGTTGGTGCTTCTCAAATTCCCCTCCCCGCCCCTGAACAAAGTTATGATAAAATACAACCTCAGTAGTTTTAAGAGTAGGGAAAGAGGGCCCAAATAATCATCCTTTTTGAATTTTGCATGCAAATTTTGCATTCAACTTCATATATTATGTAATTTGTTTTAAAGTCAATGTTCAGATGTTAAAAATACTTAAGACTGAGTAAAAACGATGGTCTAAGGAGAAGTGCTAGTTTTAACCTGGGGCTCTGTAGGCTCCCTGCCACTTACCTTGGCTCCCACTGACTGGTATAGTGACAAGGTTTCATACCCTAGTTTACAAAGCACATAAAGTTAAGCCACAATATCTATGTATTTAAATCCTAACAACCTGTGATAGAGATTATATGGAAATGTGGCTTGATTCTTAATGCTCACATAATAAGAATTTTGACAGTCCAGCAATATGGTAAACCAGATCAACTGAAAAACCGTCCTACAACAAACACCCAGAGATACTGCATAATACAACAGACATCCTTTTACATACATAGGTGATCTTACAAGAAAATAAGGGAAATCATCAGGACAAAAAATGGAAAGAACAGAATCCTAAAAGAATATAATCCAAGCATGAAAGCTAAGGGACTGTATGTGAGCTTCTGTCAGTATCAAAAATATAAAACCCCAGTTTTAATGGCTCTTGTGTAATTGGAGATAAGTCTTTTGTTCTGCACCAGGTAAAATAGCAGAACTGAGATCTCCATAAATTTAGTATTCCCAGAGGGAACAACTTAAAAGTGGGCTAGAAAAAAATACCAGTTTTCTTACTTAAGGAAACTTTTATTTCTTAACAGAGATCTCCCCTCTTCTTGGGAGTTTGGATTTGCCCTACTTGCACACTTAAGAAAATCCCAACAAGACAATAAAAGTGTTTTGGGATTGGTAGTGTCCCAGGGCATCTGATAGTAATGAAACTCCCATTTAAAAGTCCTGTGCTATCGTTCAGAATTATGGGAAGAAAAGATGATTTGGGGGAAAATGCTATATTGCTTTTATTTGTATATTAGGTTCAGGGGCTGCCAGCAGACAGGGTACAGCACAGATGTTAACACTTGCTGAATAAATAAATGGGAAACCTCATACACAACAGTACACACAAGTAGTCACAGGTACAAATAGTCACAGGTACAGCATAACAAATATGCAATTTCTTTGACACTACTTCTTAGTTTACAGACACAACTAATTTATTCAGTATTGTGCTGGAAGAATCCTTTTGGAATATGTGTACCAACATATCATGTACCTTCCAGCTACCAGATTATGCTGCTGTTCAGAAAAAACAGTGATGGAACGATTTGTGTGTGTGTGTGTGTGTGTGTGTGTGTGTGTGTGTGACCTCTACATTTAATTTAGTATCAGACAAAGTCACTTGGTCAGTAAAAACTAAAACTTGACAGTTGCAGTGGCTCATTACATTTGCTGTTTCTGCTTTAAGATCTGCTTTTGAGTTGCTCTGGCTTTGTCTTCCATTGTAAATACTCTTAGTCTCTCATTTCTTTGTAAACATCTCATTTGCAGTTTTGGGAGACAAACTTGCAACTTTGTATAGTGTTTATATATATATACAGATATATCTGACTTGCCCTTCCATAGAGCTACTCGCAATAAATGTGTCCATGAAAATAATAAATAAAAAATAAATAAAAGTCCTGTGCTTTCAGTCCACGCCTTTAATTATTCCAGATTAAAATTAATCAAATATGAAGCCACAGTAAAAATTACCACACCCATAAGGGTCCAAGTTACCATGAGTAAAAGCAGAAATAACACAAAGCAGAATTAAGCTCTCAAATATTTAGACTCCAAACATTTGGAATATGATGTAAATATGCTTATATTATTTACCCAAAAAAGAATTAAAATATGCAAGGAATAAATTAGTCAAAATGACCAAAAGGACTAAATACAACATTTAGGAATAATTAAAAATTTTAAATAGGGGATCTGAAATACATGACAAGAGAATTGGCAAGCTATAAGATATATCTGCAGTTACCCAGAATGCAACACAACCAAATAAGTAAAGGAGAAAAATGATAGATTAAGGAACAGGGAAAGGAAAGAAAGGACTAACAGTACAGAACTACAGTAGAAAATAAGATGGAGAGAGTATAATTCAGGAGGGACTGACCAGGAATTTTCTGAACAAAGATGATTTGTAAACAGGGATAAATGAAATCTACCCTATAACACATGTTAGTGAGGCTACAGAACAACAGAACCAAAAGGGAGATTTTTAAATCAGCTAATCAGGAAAGAGATTGCCTACAAAGGATTGACAGACGGAAGGGTATTTTCCATCACCATTAGTGGAAGCTGGAAAACTGGAATTATAACTTCACAGAGCTAAGAAAAAAAAGTGTACCTGCCCTAAATTATTTTTTAAGGAGAAGGGTGCAAATTCAAGATGTTTTGAAACAAAACCTGAGAGAATTTACTATAAATGGACCTTAATTGAAGGTATTTGGGGAGAAAGAAAATGATTGCATAGGACAAATAGAAGATTCAAGAAGGAATGGTGAAACACATTAAGATAAAAGTTGACTGTATAAAACAAAAATACATTTATGCATGTAAGAGAAGGTGGTTAAAGGGGATTTAAAATAAATAATTATTTCTACTAGTTTACAGAATAACCCTGAAGACTATAAGCCTTTTAGGTAATGATACAGAAAGTGAGTTACATATTTATTTTTAAATGTTTAACTCTTTTAATAAGCTAATAAAAATTGTCTTTTACTTTTATAGTTCTTTTAATACTTTCTTAAGTTGATTTCAGTTTCTATAGTAGTAATAAGTTACATTGGGATATTAAAAAACCTAAGACTCTGAGTATCAGTTTCTTTAAAGGAATCATAATAGCTAAGAATATTAGTTGTTTTAACACCAGCTGCTGTAGCTAATACTGGGCTTATCACAGTAGAAATTTATTGCTTGTGCATGTGAAATCCAAAACAGTTGTTCCTGTTTGGCAGATGATCTTCCGTATTGTCATTCAAGGACCCAGTTAAGCTTCCTCTATCTTGTACTTCTGCCATCCTCCAGGGCTTTGGCAACTTAATCATTTAGCCAGCAGATAAAGAGAATGGAGATCACATGAGAGGTTTTTTGAGTGACCCTCCCTTTAATCACATATCTGTGGCCACAATTCAATCTTAGAACTGTGACTTCCTAGAGGAGTTAGGAAATGTGTATGCCCCCAGAGGAAGAAGGAGATGGCTTTTATGAGCAGCTGGCCAGTCCCAGTTACCCAGAGTATTTACTCCTCTAACCACAGGTTAGAACCACTTACTGTTGCCAGTTAAACATCCCAAAGGCTCTTCCAGTCACCATCCAATTCACTGTCCAGGATAAGCATTTCAAGATGACATGTGGTCCTCCAGCTGGTCTAGATGTAGCCTCCCATAGTTTGGAAACAAATGAATTAAAAGGACAAGTTATCTGTCACCTCACCCTCTCCAACTCACACAATACATAATAACAGAAAGACAGGATAATCAGTAAAAGTTTCCACTGGGAAAAGGAAAGCGTGGAAGCGTACCACAGTTACTCGTCTATAAGGATGAAGTCTTGGCATTGTCTAGTCCCTCTGCCCAGGATTTGTGAAAGGGGTCTTGATCAAACCTTGCTTCAGCCCTTGGAAAGGAACTCCCTTATCCATTGGTCATGACTCCAAGCTTCACCCTTTAGTAAATTCCTTCTTAATGCATTCTTCATACCATGTCAGATGTGGGTATTGGCATATATTCTCCTCAGAGTTTGTACGGTTTTCACAACCCGCACCTTGCTTATGTAGATCTGGGGTCCTGAGGATTGTTGTAAGACTCAAAACAATCAAAAACTTTTAATTAGGAATTTGTGGTTCCTTTGGCAGTTTAATTTCCTCAAAAGTAGGCTTGTGATCTCCTTGGTTCCTGTCCGTTTCATGTGCCTGTAACTATTACTATAATTCCTTTTAGACAGAATCTTGAACCTGGTTTATTTGATTTCTGGCCACACTGCTTTTTCTCAACTGAGTAGAGGCACCTTGAAGCCGTCAAGTTTTAGTGGGAAGTACTTTCTCTGAATTTATTCTTTGCTGCAGTACTGAGTCTTAATGGGCCTTTGTCAGTCTTCTTTCCTGCTATTTGGAGTCTAGAAGCAGCCAGCTTTTCCAGTCCTTCAAGGCCACAAATTATCATAGGAGACAAATTTTACCAAATGTTTTACCATGTCACTAATGAATCTCTGTCTTTTCCAGTTTTAGCTTTTTTTGCTGCTTAGTGCTAGGCTAATATCAAATATATTAGATTTTTGTGATAGCTACATCCATTTCTATACCATTTTCTTATATTGGTTAGAGTGGCACTGTTACAATAAGCTCTGAAATATCATGGCTTTACAAAGTACAAGTTTTTTGTTTTTGTTTTTTTACTCATATGATGTCCAAAAGGAATGTTTTTGATTAGTGAGCAGTTTTCACATTGGTGGCTCAAGATCCCAGGCTCCTTCTGTCTTGTAGTTCAAAATCCTCTGCATTCAGTGGCATATGAGGAAAGGAAAAGGAATATATGTATGTGAGAGATTTTATGGCCAGACTTGAAAGCAAAGTACATTTCCATCTACAACCCATTGACTAGAATGGTCATATAGCCACACCTAACTACTCAAATCTGGAAAATGTAACCTCTGGGCAGCCCGGGTGGCTCAGCGGTTTAGTGCCTCCTTCGACCCAGGGCCTGATCCTGGAGACCGGGGATCGAGTCCCATGTCAGGCTCCCAGCATGGAGCCTGCTTCTCCCTCTGCCTGTCTCTGCCTCTCTCTCTCTCTCTCTCTCTGTGTCTTTCATGAATAAATAAGTAAAATCTTTAAGAAAGAAAAGAAAATCTTTTATGTCCAGGAGGGAAAGGAAATGGGGTCAGTGAGCAGCTAACCAGTCTGGCAACATTAGGTTAATCTAACGACTCATTTCTGTTCACCATAAGGTTAATAAAAATAAAATAGTTTATAAACATTTGGACAATGATCCATAATAAGAGATATTTCACAGTCTATCATGTTTACATACTAATGTGTATAAGACTAAAACAACATATATCAAACAGTATTTCATTTTACTAGTTGTGATGTACTTTGATATTTTCTATTCTATTTTTTTAAATGCTTTTATAGTCTACTGAATCAATTTTGTGATCTAGGTTTCCAGATCTCTGATATAGATTTTTATGATTTAGGGGATCCCTCCTGGGTGGCTCAGCAGTTGAGCATCTGCCTTCAGTCCAGGGTAGCCCAGGGTGTGATCCTGGAGTCCTGGGATTGAGACCCACATCGGGCTCCCTGCATGGAGCCTGCTTCTCCCTCTGCCTGTGTCTCTGCCTCTCTCTCTCTCTTTCTCTCTCACTCATAATAAATAAAATCTTTTAAAAATATAGATTTTTAAGATTAGATTTTATTAGTAGGTTTGTGCCTGTAGCTTAAAAAACACTGCAATAGGTAGATTAAGTTTAGGGGGCAAGTGATTTACAAAGGTATTGATATCCACCTACTTCCCTTTCAGGACATATAATGTTTACCTGATAGGACTTTTTTTAAACCCTATGTTTTATTTTGTCCCAGAGAGATGTATAATCAAGAAAGATTATGGAGATAGAGATGGAGACATCAAACTGTCAGTCTTGGTCCCAAGAGAACTAGGTTAAGGTCATTTAATTTTTACAAATATTCGTCTGAACCATTAAGCTCTTAGAGTGACCAGGAAACCGGTTGGAAGTTGAATGATGACATTGTGCTTAACCATTTCTATTACCACAAATGTCTCTTTTATTGTAGGAATTAAGTATTGGTCTTACAACCTTTATTTTTGATTTTTTGTAAACAGCTTACTGCTGGTTGCAGGGGGGACAGTTTTAAAAATCTGTGACTTTGGTACAGCCTGTGACATTCAGACACACATGACCAATAACAAGGGGAGTGCTGCTTGGATGGCACCTGAAGTTTTTGAAGGTAAATGACAAAATCATATTGCGATTGATAATCTGCCTTCTTACTCCATGTACATCCGGTGTGTGTTTATGGCTTTATGCTGTTTCCACAGTTTTATTTCTGCATAGTACATATTATAAAGCATATACAGTTGACCCTTGAACAATGCAGAAGTTACTGGCACTGACCATCCCACACAGTTGGAAATACACATGTAACTTTTGGCTCCCCCAAATTTAACTACTAAGTGACCAGAAGCATTAGTCATAACATAAACAGTTGTTTATCACCTACTTTATATATGTATTATATACTGTATTCTTAAAATAAATTTGAGAAAAGAAAATAGTAAGGGAAATACATTTATAGTATTGTACTGTATTTATCCAAAAAAAAAAAAAAAAGATACGCATTTAAGTGGACATCTGTAATTCAAACCAGTATTCACAGGTCAACTGTAGTAAAGTCTAAGGAGATAGTAAACAAATATAGCCCTAGATCTTAATAGCAATTTGTATTGTCTAGCAGTGTTCTATGAAAGTTCAAGTATATATACAGTCAATCCTCATTTTCATATTCCACCAATTGCAATTATAAAAACCTGACTATTTTTAACCCTAAAACCAGTATTCTTGGTGCTTTCATGGTTATTTGCAGCCATATACAGAGCAGGGAAAAATTTTGAGTCATCAACACATGTTCCTAACTGAGGAATAAGACAACACACTGCCTTCTTATTTTGCTCTCTACTTAGTGCTTTTTTTTTTTTCTATTTTTTTATGTGCTTTTTGTTGGTGATTTCACTGTTTAAGATGGCCTCCAGAAGCAGCATTGAAGTGCTTTCTAGTGTTCCTATTTATAACAAGGCTGTGACATGTCTTAGAAAATACATGTGCAGGCTAATCTTTATTCAGGCATGATTTATAGTGCTGTTCCATGAGTTCAATGTAAATGAATCTCCAATACATATTAAATAAAGTATCTTAAACAGAAACACATAATAAAACAAGGTTATATATTGATCAGTTGACACTAAGGTTCATAGGAACCTAACCCTGACTGCACCTACGAGCAAATGATTTAGCAGTCACTAGTCCAGTCGTCACAGAAACTGCATAGAACATAAAGACCAAGAATAACAAGAATCAACTGTGCTTTGTATTAGTTTCCTAGCAATTAAAAATTGACAGCCTAAGTTTAAATGAGCATGCCTTAGAAGGAATGCAGGTAATTTGGTTTAAATATAATACTAAGAAAGGCAAGTAACTGATAAACTTCTGTTTAATTTCTTTTACATCTCTGTACCCCAAGTTATAAAAGAGAGATCTGCAAGTTTCATAACAGGTTTCTGTATGAAAATATTAAGTTATATTTTAAATGAGAAAAGTTGATTAAAGATGTGGGATTTGTATGTTAGGAAGTATGACTGTCCAGAAGATTCAGATATGTTTAGTAATCAGATTCTGATTATGGCCTATTTATTTTATTTTTGGCAAATTTAAAGTATTTTGTTTCTTTGTTTCTAGCCACCTGAGAGAGAAATTTACCATGCAGTTGGTCACTTGAGTAGAGCTATTTTGCCATAAAATTCAATTAAAAAATGAATGAACTAGCAAATGTTAAATTATACAATTAACTAAATAATCTCTCTTTTTTAAGTTCATCTGTAGAATACACTGGCTTAAAACTATTCATTTAAAATGTTTTCCTGTGAGTTAACATAGTTTTACTATAGTGTGAAAAACAAAAAGATTTATTTATACAAAAGAGGTGAGAAATAAATTATTTTTAGTATTTAGAGTAGCAAAGTTCATACTATGAGGCTATATAGATTTCTTCATTTCTGAAAGATGTCAGCACCTAAAACCAAAATTAGATTGTAATATTATTTTAATGCTTACAGTAGACTGCTTAGTGCATGTGAAGTACACACGCTACGTACATATGTAATTATCACTGTAATTATTGTTCATTCTTACAGTGGGTTTTTTAGGGTTTTTTGGCTGTTTATTGGGCTGATTCACCCAATTTAGTGATCCTATAAATTTTGCAGCATAATCTGCTTACTATAAATTTGTTATCTATAATTTTCACTGCTTACAACTGTTAAGTTTACAAATTAAGAATTTTATCTTGCCAGATATTTAGAAGAAAGTCATAACATTAAATTAGAAATTTCTTCTGCCTTGATAGAGTAGTTCCATCATGAGAATGAATGGGGAAAGAAAATTTAAGATTAAAAAGTTACAGAAAGGAAAGTACAAATGCTTTATACTCTACCTTAGAGAAAGTATGAGTAAATAAAAAATAAATCCTGTGCCTCTCAGTGAAAAGGTAGAAAGTGTCCAGCTTTCTAAAGTGTTTTTTTTAGTGCATTATTAATACTTAATTCATAAGTAAATGTTTTGTTGCAGAGACATAAGGTACTTAGGAAAGAGTAATTTCCCAGCTCTGTGTGTTGTGTCCTCCTGTTTTTGTACACAGTGCTGTTAAAAATTTATGAAAGCAGTTGTTTCTGTAAGTCATGTAGAAAAAGAATCTTGAAATTATACCACCTTTTTCTCTAGGTAGCAATTACAGTGAAAAATGTGATGTCTTCAGCTGGGGTATTATCCTTTGGGAAGTGATAACACGTCGGAAACCCTTTGATGAGATTGGTGGCCCAGCTTTCCGTATCATGTGGGCTGTTCATAACGGTGAGTAAAACGAAGTTTTTCTTTAATATATTTTGTATATTTTCTGTCTGGAAAATTGGGTCTACCTTAAAGAAGACCATTTATCCCAAATATTAAAATGTCCAGTTCTTTGTTACCAGAATACTTTGCTGTCATCAGTCTCCTACTCTCCCCCAAAATCAAGGAGGGCAGAGGTGAGAGTGGTCCCATCCTTTGCCCAAGGCTGAAGAGGTCTGCTGATTCTGCTGATTAGGGAAAAGCCATCAGTAGACAGCCAGAGCCAAGTACCTAGGTTGGCTTTCTCCAGGGGATAGAGAAGCATCAGATTGGACTCTGTGGAGAAAATAAAATTTTTAAATTAAATTAATAAAATCTTTCTCAAGGTTCAGATAATTGAGGAGATAATAACCTTTTCTTTTGAGGGAGTAAAAGATAATAAGAGTTGTTACTTCAGCTATTCATAAAGGCAGAACATAGCGCTTCACATATGCTTTCTTTTTAAAATCTTCTCATTCACCCTTATAAGGGGAGTACTATTATTGCTTCATTTTACAATTTTACAGAGACCGAGACCTAGAGAGGGAAAGGAAGTTGCCCAAGGTCACCAGATTAGTAAGTGGTATTGCTGGGATTCATTCACATCCATATCTCTGACTCCCAATGCCCATATTTTTAAGTTATATTGATCTATGAATTCAGTATCCTTATATCCCTCCTGCTCCTTTTAGACATGTAGTTGTGATGTTTCTAACCACTCAGGATGTTAGAATACATGTTCTTCATTAATCAAGTTACTTCGCATTTGATTTGGGAAAATAAACTCTTCATGAAGGGAAATTGCTTAACCTTCCTAATTTTTATTTCACTATTATTAAATTTCTATCAATTGGTTATAATCATTGTGATTATGGCATTTTAATTTTTTTGGCATTTTAATACACTGTTCCATAGATCATAAAATACTTACCTAACTAGGTCATTCATAGACTTGTCAAACAGTATCATTATCTAAGTAATCCTAAGTGGTTTTATTGGTTTCCTGTACTACTTTTCATTTTACTACCTTTAATGTCATTGTAGAGAATGCTAGAGTAATGACTAAGACAATTTGTTGTGTTTTTCTGTCAATTGTCAGTAAATTATCAACTCGGTAAAGTAAGGAATAAAAGAGCTAACTTGGTAAAATTACAAAGACTTCATAATACTAAAGGCTTTTTTTTAAGTTAGGGATCTCACTATAGTATTTACACAAAAGTTGACAGTTTTCTGGCTGTGAAATGATGGATTCACAGCAGCCAAAAAGGTCTGCCACTGACAAAAGAGTTATTTAGAGGTCACTGAGTATAACACCATAGTTGATGACTTTCCTGATATGAAAGAGGATTTTTCTTTTTCTTTTTTTTTTTTTTTTTTTTGAAAGAGGATTTTTCAAACACATTTGAAAGTTTTACAGTGAATCTGAAAATATAGTTCAGGTAAGATTACTTAAAACCACCATTTAATTTTTTTGAATGAAGTACCCACTAAGCCATTATTATTTGTTACAGGAAAAAGTTTAGAATAAATGAGATAGAGGGCAGCCCTGGTAGCTCAGCGGTTTAGCGCCACCTTCCATCCAGGGCCTGATCCTGGAGACCCAGGATCAAGTCCCATGTCAGGCTCCCTGCATGGAGCCTGCTTCTCCCTCTGCCTGTGTCTCTGCCTCTCTCTCTCTCTCTCTCTCTCTCTCTCTCTCTCTCTCTCTGTCTCTCATGAATAAATAAATGAAATCTTTAAAAAAAAAAAAGAATAAATAAGATATTTCTATCTTACTCTTACTATAATGCACATAAAAATTTTATTTTAACTTTGCAAAAGGTGTAGCTTCCCCTTTATGAAAATACAATGTTAACTTAACAGAAAAAAAAGTACTTCACTATTCCAAAATCTTAAATTACAAGATCTATAAAATAAGTACTGTGTTGGAAATACATATAAAAATTTTATACCATTCTTTTGGATAAATACATTCTTCCCCCTCCTCTAATTTTCAATTCTAGGTACTCGACCACCACTGATCAAAAATTTACCTAAGCCCATTGAGAGCCTGATGACTCGTTGTTGGTCTAAAGATCCTTCTCAGCGCCCTTCAATGGAGGAAATTGTGAAAATAATGACTCACTTGATGCGGGTATAATCCTTCTTTTGAGGGGCTTTGGATTTAGGGGAATTTGATAGATACTGAGTTTGGATGGGGTTTAATGTGAAGAGACGTTATTGCTATTTTCTGCTTTATACTTTTCTGTTTTGTCCAGTTTCAAATGGGCATTTATTACTCATATTCAGAGGAGGAAACATTATTTTGGGAAAAAAATCGAGTTCTTTATAATGGAAAGATAACTAGACTTGGTTTCTGAACTTGCTTTTTCCTCTTGCTTAACTTATTGGACAAATGCGTTTGTTTGAGGGCCTGTTGCCTCTCTGTATTCTAAGAAGCTGAATTAGATATCTTGATAGGACTTAGGTATTTTCTGACTCTTAATACTTGCCAAACTAAATTTTAAATTTTCTTGAGTACAGATCTTCATCAAGGAGTCATTTATGCAGGGCAATAGAACGGTTGTATTCCCAGGCACATTTGTGTAAATGATTTTTACCTTCTGGTGTTTCATTGCACAGTTTTAGCTTTTCATTTGCCATTAAAATGTTAAACTTATAGGATTTATAGATAGGATTTTTTAATTTAGAAGAACCCTTTCAAATGATTATCAAAATTTCTTAGTCTATAAACAAACACTTTGAGAATTACTTGAATAATTTTAGGCCTTTAGTTTTGGGTGCACTAATAAAATCTGTCGAGTGGTACTTTGACTTGAAAAGTTCACATACTTATGAAAGTGCCTGAATTTCAGAACAGTTTGCTCAGTAGAAGAACCCTTCAAACTCCTTACATATAGATTTCCTAAATGGCTAGAGATTTGTTTATTGTATTGAAAATGATTTAGGCAAACCAAGCTTGAAGTAATCTGATTAAAACTTACCATCATATGTGAATTCCAGCTATACATAGGATCCTAGGCCCTAAAGATACATTCATAAGAAATCTACTTCATCTCCATAGTGAGATACCTTAAAACATTGAGATATAAAAATTGTTCAGATTGTAGTTGTACTTACATGTGTTTTGTCTGATTTGAAAAGAAAACCTTTCCTTTTCTCCCCTAATTTCTAATGTTTGCCCAGCAAAAATTTCCAATATTATATCTCCAGTTTATAGAGGAACAGCCATAATCTATTTCTGATATTCAAAATATTAGTTCTGACAATTATTCTGTGGCATACCAAGCTCATCAGACTGACAGTAATTTCAACAGTTTGGAAGTTTGTATCAGCAGAACATAAATACATTTTATATAATTATAAGGAATGATACTATTTATTACCTATGTTCCTCTAGAAAAATATAGCTGTGTTCTTTAGAACTGTCTAGGCTCTGTGTAAAATAGATACTTAAGTACATACATGGCATTGATCACAGGTGAAATACAAAAGAATAGCACATTATCATCATCTTTGTAAAACCAAAAACCTAAGGCATATACTGAGTATATGTATCCACAAATTCAGTATATGCCTTAGAGAAAATGAAGCAGTATCTTTGCTACTTTCACATCTCAGGACAAGAAAATAATAATGTGTATTCTTCAAATTAATTCTCACAGAATTTATTTTGCATTAAAGAAATTTTAAATTGTTATTTACTTTTTCATATATAGTACTTTCCAGGAGCAGATGAACCATTACAGTATCCTTGTCAGTATTCAGATGAAGGACAGAGCAACTCTGCCACCAGTACAGGTAAATGGATAGATTGGAAGAGTAAGAACCTAATTTTTTTGTGTCTCTGTTCCCATGAAATTATAATCAAGAGGTAATGAATGATGTCTCCATTTGCATTTTAATTTCTTCATTTCATATGATTGACTGCAATTTGGGTTTCCAGGTGCATCATTCTTCATGAAGGTATCCAGATTAAAGAGTTACTAAAGACCTGCTTCCAAGTATTAGAATTCTTGCATGTTAAATATAAAAAGATGGAATATTGTATTGCTGGGAATGTCATTCTTTATTTGAAAGAAAATCATTTTTACACAGATAACGGCTTGATCAAATAATATTAGAAATCATTGTAAATGTAAAAATCAGTGTATTTCTTCTTCGTATTTCACCCTACTTATTGGTCTTTTGTAGAAAAGCCTGTAGAAACTCTTATTTAAGAACTCTTGTTTTTAGTTCAAAGTTCCTTAGTTTTCTAAATACAAGGTAATAGTGGGATCTGTAGTATGTGAACATCAAAAAAGACAGTAGAGATAGCTCTCTTAGAAAAATTGTGCTTTTCAAAGTATATGGCCTTTTAAGCATTTTTATTAAGATTTTATTTTTACTGATCTGTTTCCCCAACCTTGAAAATAATTACGTTTACTTTAAGCTGGCTTAATAGTTATTACCAAATTCCATCTTTACGGAAAATCTTTTAAGTTGCTCTGAATTCTAAAGTGAACTTCTCTGAAATTCCATGATTTGTTTCTGCCACCACCTCCAGACTCTCTCCCTGTTTAAGTACTGTGACCTTCAGTCCTTTGATCTTTCCATCTTTTCACTGAGCTCCAGTTCTCTCAGAACCTTCCTTTCACTTAATTCCAGCTATTCTAATTTCTTGTCTCAGGCTTGTTTGGCTGTTAACCACTTGCGGGGCAGTCTGGGTGGCTCAGCAGTTGAGCATCTGCCTTCAGCCCAGGGTGTGATCCTGGAGACCTGGGATGGAGTCCCACGTCAGGTTCCCTCCATGGAGCCTGCTTCTCCCTCTGCCTGTGTCTCTGCCTCTCTCTCTTTGTCTCTCATGAATAAATAAATAAAATCTTAAAAAAAAAAATCTGACGATTGCTTTTGCTTGCCTATGCCAATATGGGTGCACATGGCTGGAGACAACACGTATTTACTGTCTTCAAACACCTTAGTGATTTAGTGATGCTACATGGCTGTCCTATAATTTAGTCTGTCTCCTCTCACTTAGGTGACTTAACTTTATACTTTAACCTGTCTCCTCAAATGTCAAATAATCTCCTCTTCATTCCTCACTTTCAGCTGATCTTATTTGCCTATTTCTTTGAAAAATTGGATTGATCAAAAGGTAGCTTCCAGAAAGAAACTCCCCCACTACATCTGCCCACCGGCCGGTATCTGTGCCCATCTGCTCTACATTCTTTTCTGTTACCATGGCTGAGCTCCTCACCAGAGGCAAGCTTGTCTACTTATGCAGTGTATCCCATCTGCTCTTCCCAGCAGTTCTTCCCTCGGTCTTTTGCATCATCAGTTTTAGCCTTTCTATTGGAATCATTCATTCCCAGGGCATATATAGTCTGTATTTGCATCCTCTTAGCTTCTCTCTTCCCATTCTCTCTAGTGCCCAGTCCATTTAGGCTTTATATACTACTACTCCAGAATTACCCCTGTCAATGTTACTAGTTGTCTCCACATGACTAAATTGAAATGATTTTCACTTCTCATTGTTTCTTTAAAATATATATTTAAATAAGCAAGAAGGAGAGAGACCATGCACAGCAAGGGCAGGGGGAGAGGGAGAAAGAGAATCTTAAGCAGACTTCCTCCTGAGCAGGGACCTGACCTGGGTCGTTTTGCTTTTTTTTTTTTTTTTTTTAAGATTTTATTTATTTATTCATGACACACACACACACACACACAGAGGCAGAGACACAGGCAGAGGGAGAAGCAGGATCCATGCTGGGAACCTGACGTGGGAAGTGGGACTCGATCCCGGGTCTCCAGGATTACACCCTGGCCCAAAGGTGGTGCTAAACTGCTGAGCCACTCAGGCTGCCCTGACCTGGGTTCTTATGACCTGAGACCTGAGATCATGACCTGAGCCAAAACCAAGAATCAGATGCTTAACCAACTGTGCCACCCAAGTGCTCCTAGTTCTCATCTTTTTTGGCTTTCAGTAACATTTAACACAATTCATTACTTTCTCCTTATATAGAGCATTTTCTTTAGTTAGTCCACAGGTTACCATATGAGCCTGGGTTTCCATCTTCTATCTCTGGCCACTTTCTCTGATGGTTTCCTATGCTGGTAACTTTTTATCTTCCCAACCTATACATGTCAGCATGCCTAGGGCTCAGTCATTAAGGCTCTTTTGTTTATCTCTCTCTACCCTCATTTCCTCAGTAGTCTCATCCAGTATCATAGTTTTATATACCATCTATTTGCTGATGTTTTGCTTCATCCCTGGCCTGAACTTCATACTCATATATCCAGCACTTGATATCTAATAGGAACTCAAACTTTTTTTTTTTTAAGATTTTTATTTATTTATTCATGAGAAACACACAGAGAGAAAAAGGCACAGACAGAGGCAGAGGGAGAAGCAGGCTCCATGCAGGGAGCCTGACGTGGGACTCGATCCCGGGTCCCCAGGATCACGCCCTGGGCTGAAGGCGGCGCTAAACTGCTGAGCCACCCGGGCTACCCAGGAACTCAAACTTAACATATTCCAAACTAAGCTCCTGACATACCCTTCAAATTTAGTTTTCCCATGGTCTTCCCCATCTTGATTAATAGCCACTTTGATTTACTAGCTCAGACTAAGAACCTTACAGTCACCCTTGACTTTAGAAGACTAAGCATTTTGGTTCCCTGTTTCTACTATCCTTAAGTTTCATTTAAAATGGGTTTGGAGGGCAGCCCGAGTGGCTCAGTGGTTTAGCACCACCTTCAGCCTGGGGCGTGATCCTAGAGACCCAGGATCGAGTCCCACGTCGGGCTCCCTGCATGGAGCCTGCTTCTCTCTGCCTCTCTCTCTCTCTGTGTCTCTCATGAATAAATAAGTAAAATCTTTTAAATAAATAAATAAATAAATAAATAAATAAATAAATAAATAAATAAATAAATAGGATATCTTCATTGGCTTGAAAAGTCTTAGTTTCAATTCATACCTTGTTAGTTTAGAAAAGAATTTAAATTACATATTATTGAACAAAGCATCTGTATAATTCCCAATTTGTAATCTTAAATATTTCTGCTTTCCTAGGCTCATTCATGGACATCGCTTCTACAAATACCAGTAATAAAAGTGACACTAATATGGAGCAAGTTCCTGCCACAAATGATACTATTAAACGCTTAGAATCAAAATTGTTGAAAAACCAGGCAAAGCAACAGGTTTGTTTTGTTACTAAAAGTAAAATCATATGATGACCTTACTAGTAGTCATAACTTTATACTGACTGAAACTATTTGTCATCTTCCATTATACAAATGCTGAATCTTGTTCCTGAAGCAGATAACCATAGAGACATAAAATGAGATTCTCCTACCATTTATCACAATCAAATTGTTTTCCCTTCTGATGATTGCTGCCTTTGCCAATAGTGCAACTCCCTCCCTGTGATGTTCCCTAGCTTTAATGGTTGATTAAAAATATAAAGTGGTAAAAAAACTGGTTCTGCTACCCAGTTAAAGGAATTTGTCCTAAATCTATCATTTCATATTGTTCAGATTTATTATCTTTTTGCTGTTGTTAGTTAAAAAGTATTTTAGGTAGTAATTTTATGTATCTTATCTGAGACATTTAGGTTAACTAATAATTGTAGCCTCTAACTCCCAACTCCAGTGACTGCCCTTTCTTAAAGGCAGCCATCTGTAACTTGCTCTCCCTTAACCCCTGCAATTCCTTCTCCCTTAAAACTTCCTTTTCAGAACAGAACAGAATTCATAAGAATCTTAGGTGATATTCCTCCTCCTAGGCTGCCCAGGAGTTTTAAATTTAAAGAGCTTCAGTAATTCTTGTAATTTTAACAGAGTGAATCGGGACGTTTAAGCTTGGGAGCTTCCCGTGGAAGCAGCGTGGAGAGCTTGCCCCCAACCTCCGAGGGCAAGAGGATGAGTGCTGACATGTCTGAAATAGAAGCCAGAATTGCTGCAACCACAGGTAAAAAGGAAACAAAAACCTAAAGAGAATTGGAAATAAAAGTTTTAATTGTTTCAGTAGTGGGAATGTCAGAGTTTTTGTGTCATAAATTTTTTTCAAGCAGGATGTAGGCTTACAATATACTTTCTAAGTTTCTAGCCATAATTTGTATGTTTTTCTCCAATTCCAAATAAGGCAAATATGACTTAAAAATTATTTGGATCATAAAATATATTTTTATTAAATATAAATCTTTCACCTCAAACATGAGGTCAGAATTTAAGTAGGAAATTGAAATCTTGCCAAAATTAGAATGTTTCAGCAGATTTTTAGTGATTGTACTAGAAATTGTGCTGACTTCAAATAATAGCAAATATTTTGTTTTGAAATTAGCAGAAAAATGTACTCTAGATCCAAATATGATTTGGCCATACTGTGTGTTCCTCTTCCTTCCAGTAGCAAGAATAGCCAAGTTGGTATAGATAATTCTTTTAATTGTTATCTAAAAGATCATGGTAATTTTATTCAATCTTGGAAAAGCTAGTATTTGAATTCCATTTTTTCACTTAAATGATTAATGATATACTGAAGGACTGGTTATCACAAAAACAATTACAGTTGACCCTTGAACATCACAGGGGTTAGGGATATCAACCTGCCTTGCAGTTGAAAATCCACATGTGCCTGGGTGGCTCAGTCAGTTGAGCATCTGACACGAAGTCTTCTTTTTTTTTTTTTTTTTTTTTTATAAATTAATTTTTATTGGTGTTCAATTTACCAACATACAGAATAACACCCAGTGCTCATCCCGTCAAGTGTCCCCCTCCGTGCCCGTCACCCATTCACCCCCACCCCCCGCCCTCCTCCCCTTCCACCACCCCTAGTTCATTTCCCAGAGTTAGAAGTCTTTATGTTCTGTGTCCCTTTCTGATATCTCCCACTCATTTCTTCTCCCTTCCCTTATATTCCCCTTCACTATTATTCATATTCCCCAAATAAGTGAGAACATACACTGTTTGTCCTTCTCCGATTGACTTACTTCACTCAGCATAATACCCTCCAGTTCCATCCACGTTGAAGCAAATGGTGGGTATTTGTTGTTTCTAATGGCTGAGTAATATTCCATTGTATACATAAACCACATCTTCTTTATCCATTCATCTTTCGATGGGCACCGAGGCTCCTTCCACAGTTTGGCTATTGTGGACATGGCTGCTAGAAACATCGGGGTGCAGGTGCCCCGGCGTTTCATTGCATCTGAATCTTCGGGGTAAATCCCTAACAGTGCAATTGCTGGGTCGTAGGGCAGGTCTATTTTTAATTCTTTGAGGAACCTCCACACAGTTTTCCAGAGTGGCTGCACCAGTTCACATTCCCACCAACAGTGTAAGAGGGTTCCCTTTTCTCCGCATCCTCTCCAACATTTGTTGTTTCCTGCCTTGTTAATTTTCCCCATTCTCACTGGTGTGAGGTGGTATCTCATTGTGGTTTTGATTTGTATTTCCCTGATGGCAAGTGATGCAGAGCATTTTCTCATGTGCATGTTGGCCATGTCTATGTCTTCCTCTGTGAGATTTCTCTTCATGTCTTTTGCCCATTTCATGATTGGATTATTTGTTTCTTTGGTGTTGAGTTTAATAAGTTCTTTATAGATTTTGGAAACTAGCCCTTTATCTGATATGTTATTTGCAAATATCTTCTCCCATTCTGTAGGTTGTCTTTGAGTTTTGTTGACTGTATCCTTTGCTGTGCAAAAGCTTCTTATCTTGATGAAGTCCCAATAGTTCATTTTTGCTTTTGTTTCTTTTGTTTTCTGACACGAAGTCTTCTTAAGATTCTCTCCCTCTCCATCTGTCCCTTCTCTACTCACTCTCTCTTGCTTTCTAAATGAATAAATAAAATCTAAAAAATAAATAAATCTTTTTAAAAAAAAATCCATATGTAACTTATGACTCCCCCAGAACTTAACTTAAGAATATTATAAGGAGAATAGGGGCACCTGGGTGGCTATGAGTGAGTTGGGCGTCTCCATTTGACTCAGGTCATGATCCCAGGGTTCTGGGATCCATCCTGCTCAGCGTGAAGTCTGCTTCTCCCTCTCTCTCTGTTGTTCCCACTGCTTGTAATCCCTCCCTCTCCCTCCCTCTCTCTGTCAAATAAAATCTTTTTAAAAATATAAGGAAAATACATTAACAACACTATATTGTATTTTTTTTAACCATGTATAATTGAACCCTCGCAATTGAAACCCATGTTGTTCAATGGTCAGTTGTATATATTTTATTACCTGAGTGAATTACAACCTTTCTAGCCAGTTTTTAGCTAGGTAATGCTGGTTTAATTTGTTTTCGTTCCAGTTCTTCCAGTGGTAGAGGAGAGCTAATTATAAAAGTAAATACATTTCTTTTGTGGAAAATGTGGAAATAAAAACAACCAAAAACCAGTTTTCCTTAATTGTCCCCCTAAGAGATAAACTCTTAACAATTTTGTGTCTTTACTTCTAGTCTTTTAACCGTATATATGTATACATGTGTATTTTCATGTGTATTAGTATGTATATTTTTTAACTTAGCTAACCAGGTTTCTTTGGAGTTTTTTTAGGTCTTTTTTTCTCATTTGTTTTTTTTTTCTTCTAAATAGAATGTTGTCATTTTTTGTGGAGCTCTTTTCAGAAAGAAGTTTCTCAGAAGACCATCATAATGTACTTGTCTTCATCTAATAATGAACACTGATTATATTAGCATTAGAATCGGCTAGCTACAACAGAATATTCAAAATAGCAGTGTCTTTAACACATAAGCTTTGTTTTTCACACATAGAGAAATTTGAAATTTGCTCTATGATCTTAGACAGCTGAGCTCCTCTGTCTCTGGGCCACAATTCTATTGTGTGGCTTCCATCTTCAAGGTTATTTTGTGCTCTAGAATAGCTATCATAATTTCAGTCATCACATCCACAATCCAGGCAGCAAGAGGGGAAAATTAGAAGGCCATAGGATACATGCCCAAGTTCTTTCAAGGATCTTTACCAGAAGTTTCCCCTATTTACTTCCATAGAGATGCCTTTGCCCATAGTAATAGATGGCTACATGGGGCTGCAAGGAAAAAACAGATCTGTGATCTTTTATGTAGGAACATTGCTGTCCTGGGTAAAGTCAGTGTGCTGTTGCTAAGAAAGAGGGGAAGAATAGAGATTGGCAGGGGACTAGCAGTCTTTATCACACAGATGGATCTTCATAAATGATCAAATTGAATGGCGCTTACCAGCCACTAACAAGCCCTCCTACTCTCTGAGTCACAAGTGTTTTTCTGTGGAGTGAGGGCATCTCAGTATAGCATTAGATGAATAGTGTATACAGTGACACATCTTCACACTTGGGAAACCTTTCACTTTAGGGATGTCATTCAAGTTAGATCTGCTAAATAATAATTACTGCTCTAAAGTGGTGTTATAATTTATATCTTTTCTGGTCAGGTACTGGTTTATAATTATTCTGTACAGAAGTGATACTTCAGTAGGTTAAAAACAACCACATATATTTAAATTATCCTACCCTCTAAATGTGGAACAGATGTTGTTGAACATCCACTGAATTTTATACAGTTCAGATTTTTTTAATGAATTGTCTTACTTTAAAAGATTCATATTCTCCAGCTTTTAACACTGTTCACATTTAATGGGAATGCACTTTGACCTTTGGAAACTACAGCAAATATTCAGCTAAATAGAAGTGTATGTAAATATTTATTAACAAAAGCATATATGTTTCGTACTTTGATTCAATAATTACCATTTAATCACAAATTTCACTTTATAGCAACTTCAAGAAACATCTAATTTGAACATCTATTCCTTTGTTTGTGTAATTAAAACAAATATGGTAGCTTATTTCTTTTTAACTCCTGTCTCCCTTCCCACTTTCATCCTAGCCCTCCATCGCTTATCAGTGATTCCACTTAGGTAGATTGTTTCCCATGTTTGAAATTTAGCTTCCTCACTACCGTGCAGCTTTGTCTCTGTCCTTTTTTTTTCCCCCTGCTAATTAAAACCAGTATGTGAAAATCTTTATTGATAGTTTGTTTTCTCCTAAATCATGCCTTTTCTTAGCATGGATGAAAAGTTAGATAGTTCTGCATGCCATTCTGCATGAAATATTAACATAACTATTTGAAAATTATTCTGTTTTTGTAGTTAATCGTTTTCTGTGTTACTGTTTGTGGTTGTTTGCATGTATACTGTATATATATGTTTTTGCAGCCTATTCCAAGCCTAAACGGGGCCACCGTAAAACTGCTTCATTTGGCAACATTCTGGATGTCCCTGAGATCGTCATATCAGGTATCATAGACCACCTGAGTTGGTCTAATAGCTGTGGGACCGGAATAATGATCCCTGGTACTTATAAAATGCTTCTTGCTCCAATTGTTATAGGACATAAAAATAGATACCTTGCATGCAGTGATTAGGGAGACAGATTGAAAGGTAATACATTTATGTATACTGAAGCAGACTTGACAGGAAACCTTAAATCTCCAAAAATGAGGGTAGCATAGAAGGCAAAATAAACCTTTTCTCAGAAGAGGAGAATACTAGCCTAGAATTTTATCAGCTTCCTCCCTACTTTTAAGTGAGATGAGCTAAACCAAGACTTTATTTGCACCCAGCAGAAAAAGGAAACAACTGTTTAAAATATTTACTGTTCTTGGCTCCTTTCCTTCCTTAGTTTCTACTTTTGGGGTTCCTTTTAGACTTCCTATCCAAGCCTCTTTCTGTTGGTAGCAAGTGAAATTTGAAATTAAGAAAAGAGAATTGCTAAATAACATTTTGCCTTAACCTAGAAAATAGAAACAAAGTAAAAGAGATTTGCTGTTTTGCATGGTATCTTGCCAAAGAATCATGGTCAGTTGTGATTCTTGTATGTTATCAAGAGAATCTTCTTGCAAACTACATGTTTTTATACCTAACTAGCACATGGTACTTCAATGTCTTAAATTGGTAAATTGCATTTATTTGTTATGGTGATAATTTTTTTTTAAATCTTTCTTTTTATTTTTTTATTTTATTTTTTTTTTAATTTTTATTTATTTATGATAGTCACAGAGAGAGAAAGAGGCAGAGACATAGGCAGAGAGAGAAGCAGGCTCCATGCACCGGGAGCCCGATGTGGGATTCGATCTCGGGTCACCAGGATCACGCCCTGGGCCAAAGGCAGGTGCCAAACCGCTGCGCCACCCAGGGATCCCTATGGTGATAATTTCATAGATAAATCTCAATCACCGTTTTTGACAGACAACAAACGTATGTCATCAAAATTAATCATTTATTACTCTGTCTGCTTTGGGTTTTCCTCTACCTCTTCCCTAAAGAAATACACAGTTTTCCCACACACATTTATGGGTATGATTTGGGTAAATTCCTCAGGGCTATGCATTGCCCGTGATTGTGCTTTTAAAATAGTTTTGTTTCGTAGTTGAATACCTAGAGGTCATTTTCTCCTCCAGTAAAGTGAAAACAGAATACAGACCATGTCTTTATTATATATTATTGACTATCAGCAGCTATCTGGCACTGGGCCTCATGCACAGTATTTAATAAATATGTGCCTGTTAAATGAACCAACTATTATTGACCTCCCATGGCTAGGAACTAGGATACATATAAAGTCTGTATAAATTATAAATATGCATAAAACATAATATAATTCTTAGGTACTTTGTATAAAACCACTTTATATTAGATTAATTTTTATTTTTTCAAAGTGATTTATTTTATAACATCATCACTATTGCTGTTCAGGGAAAAGAGTTTAACCTATTTCTCACATAGCAATTTTGTTAATTGAGTCATGGCCTGCATGCATAATTAACAGAGTAGTTGAGATTATTTCACCTCCATACTGAAAGGTGCTGTGTTTAGGGGCATATTATTTTGACTAAAGAAGTAGCAACATTTAGACATACATACTATGAAGCTGTGATTACTTTAAATGTTTGAATCAGGAGTATTTAGGCAAATGGCAAAATAGTCTTAATCCATGTCTTATGAGTAAGCACTAATAACACATACAAACTCATGTAGTGAACAGTGTAGCCAGTACTGTACAAAATAATGGAGAGAAAAGAGAAAGAAAAGTTTTGATGGTTCTCAACCAGGATGAATATGCCCTCCAGGAGATATTTGGCAACATCTGGTAACATTTTTGGTTGTCACAAGTGGCAGGTGGCAAATAGTGGGAAGGACCCCGGGATGCTGCTAAACACCCTACAATGTATCAAACAGTGTTCCACAAGCCAAGAATTATCCAGCCTAATATGGCACTTGGTCAACGTGCCAAGGCTGAGAAACCCTGCTTAAATGCTCTTGTGTGGCCTATAAAGTAGTTTAAGGTACATTATCTCAATTGACCTCTATAGCAATCTTAATAACCAGGTTACCAGATAAAATTAACAGCTGTTTTATAAATGAGGAACTTAATCTAATGAATTTTGAGTGGTTTTCTCAGAGCCATATAGCCAGGATCCCAACCTAGATCTGATTCCAATCACATCCATTTTCTCCTCTTTTGTTTGAGGAGGAGAAGACAGAAAAATTGTCTTGCTCCTCTTTAGTGTTCACATTAAAGAGACCTTTTGGCCAACAGACCCTCTTTTGACACTATGTCCTTATAGAGTCAGGAAACCATAATTCTGCTCTTAATTGCCAGAGCAACAATGCTGTTCACATAGAAATAGTATTCAATAACACATTTTATTAAATATTCTTGGTGACTTTTTTTCCCCCAGATATCTAAACAGTAACCTAATCAGTTTTTACTTTCTTTAATAAAAGATTAATACAAGCACTGGACTTAAAACAGTTGGACATAAGAGCCAAATATTAATGTATTCTTAGGTTGTATTTTTAAATTAAATATAAAAATATAACCCATGCTTTGGGAGTACTTCAGATGTCTTACATGGCCATTTTAAATTACAAAGAGGGATACTTAATTGCCAGAATTTCTTGGTACCTTGTGCAGTTTTTTTCCTGAAAGTCTGTTTCCCATAAGTTCTGTGGTATTAAATATCTCTTGATAATACCCAAACTGGTATTTATTAATATTGGATCCCAATTGTAAGCACTTTTTTTAAATATAGCTATATTTTTTATCTTATCTGTTATGAATAAATATAAGCAAAGTAAATATAAGTGTAGAAGTTTCTTGCTCAGGATTTAAACTATTTGACCTACCATTTTCTAATCTATTCATTTATTGAACATTACAAAATGATAAGCTGAAATGAACTTTGAGAAGAGGAAATAGCCTTTCTTAAATGTTTTCTAAAACTTGGAAGTTTTAAAAACATAATCATTTCTCCCATTTAGCCGGTACATTTTAATTGTATTACTTTTATTTGAAGAAAAGGGGAATGACTGGCATGTTATTAGATTGCTTTAAATTTACTAATTTTTTTCCTCCCAAGATTTTAATAAGAATATGATTTTTTATTTATTGGGTTTTTCCACTTGATTTTTTTACCTTCCCACATTCATTTTTGTTACTCTCCAAGCTTCCAAGGTTCTATTCCCTCCCCCAATCTTTATTTCATATACTCAAACGAAATAGGGATTATGAATTGTAAAACTATATAATACATTTTGATAATAACATTTACTGGTGTTAGAATACCTAAATTTTGCATTTCTTTCAAAGATGCAGATGCCAGAGATAAACAGGTAAAATGTCCAAAAAAAAATTAACAAAACAGGAGCAACAAATTTTTCCCATTTAAAGCATGGAGTAAGAGTCTTGAGTAGTTAAGTCATGATTTTGTTCATGGCTTTAGTTTGAGTGGTTGAAAAACGTCAGCAGTTCTGCTCCTGTGTCCTTGAGTGAATAATTACAGCATGTAAGGAAATCATCAACTGCAGTAATAATGTATTTTGAAATCCACTGAAAAAAGGTACTATTTAAGTACATACAAAAGATTTAATTGGAACATTTATCTTCTATACTTCTTCTCTTCTAATATGAAATTCCTTATACATAGTTTATACCAGATTGCTATCCTAAAATGATCTATATTTCCAAATATTGCAAGAGTAAATTTTTCCAAATACTGATACTGTGTGACTACCGGAATTTTGAATATATCTTTAAAAAAGTAAACCATAAAGTTTTATAGAATATTTATATTTAAACCCAGTGGTACTGAATTTCTTTGTTCAGACTAAATTATAATGCTTGAGTTGATTTAAAACACTTGAAAATTCTCATTTATTCTGTAGATAAGAATAGCTTTAATGTACTTCAATTTGAGATCCTTGAATAGTGGTGCTTCAGTATACCTTTTGCAAGGCTAAAATAACATGGCATAGCATTTTAGAATCATAGTATGCTTTGACCAAAGATGGTATTCCATCTTATATACTGTTTCTAAGGATATAAGAAATAATGAAGATTGAATATGCAAAAATTTTAATAGTCATGTAAAATATTTTTGCCCAGGACCCTGAAGAACCTGAACTTAACTGATATTTTTGTTTGTAATACAGTTCTTAAAGCTGAAAGAAACTTCAGTTATCCTTATAATTTCAGCTGCATTTAGATATACTTATTGAGAAAATTTTAATGAATACTTACATTTAATTTCAGTCAGACACGTTTAGGTCTACATTAGTTGTTTTCAAGAGTATGATGAGTAGTTAAATAGAATAAGTAGAGTATGGGAGATCCCAGGCATATTTAACAAAAATAAATGGTAGTTCAATGTCTCATACTTACACCTTTTCCTGCTTCAGAAGTTTCAGCTATCTTAGAGAGTTGGCAGACGGATTGGGCTGGTGGAGGACAGTGCACTGAGGGCTTTGTAGAATGCTGGATAGCTGGAGGCTGTAATACTATTCAGAGACACTTGGGCACTATTTTGCTTTCTCTCAAGACAAGAATATAACCTTTTAATACTATATTTGGTTCAAGAACCAGTACATACTAATGTTTTATAAACATTACTGCAAGTACATAAATTATTGGTTCATTTTTCCCCCCCAAATAGTGCAGTGCTGATGTGAAGAGACAGTGAGATAAGAAGTAGACTTTACTATATTTGGCAAGTTCCTACCTTGGACATATAGTGTCATTAGCAGCTATAAAGCTTTGGATTAGGGACTCTGAGGCTCAAGGAGAGCTATGCTGAAATATATCTGCTTCTGTCATGTGTAGCCACATCACCTTCAATAAAATGCTGTATTTGTGGCTAATTAAATAAGGAAGTTCAACTAACCAATATTAAAGAGAATGTTTAGTAGTCTCTTTATGTATTTTAGCCTATCAGGATCACTTTTTGTAATCAAAAAATTGAACTCTTATCTAATAAAAGCTAGTGCGTTAGAAAGCAAAACATCAATAATAATTATTTTCCTTTGATAGAAGGAAAAAAAAAACCACCCTGAAGGGCCTTCTAAGGAATGACACAGAATTTATTGAAATAAATAAAAGAATATGAAATTTGTAGCAGCCTAAATGAGAACATATATTTCTAAATTGCATAGTTTACCTGAAGCGGTGATATAATACTACAGTGTATATAGTGCTGTACAAAATTTTTTAAATCTTATGTATTTTACAGATGAAGAGAACAGTGTCCCACAATTTTAATATTCAAAACTTATGAATCTCAAAATTTCCAACATTTAGTGAAGAGATGTCTCCAGGAAAATGTAGCATTGAATTTTACATGAAAAGAGCCTTCAGGAAGTTTGGAAAATAGAAAATTAAGAGTAGTTAAGGTAAGGAAAACAATGAGCTTACTTAAACCAATAGAAAAAGACACAAGAGTGACTGGGAAGGTGGACTCTGTTCAAATATCAGTTTAGGAAATAAGTTGTACTTAAAAGAGCAGCTTTTTGAAGATATGAATTCTGTTTTTGTGATATTATAAAAAACAGTTAAATTGGCCTGTAACCCGCTATCTCAACCACCCTTTCTTTTAGGGGGGTGGTTTATGGGCAGGGGTGGGGGGTGGCTGGGAAATTATGATGAGCTAGGGATATAGTATATTGGTGCTCTTACTTAGAAAAGTTGTTCTAAAAAAATGTCACTTATTCCCTGTCATAAGTCGTAAAAGTTCCAGAATTTATTACAAAATGAAATACTCAGGACGCTTTTGCAGGTTTCAGATTCCTCCATCAGGCATCTGTAGACACCATATTGGCCTTTGATTCTACTTTTTTCATTTATACTACCATGTGTAATACAGGTATGCATATGATAAAGAACTACAAAAAAATGTAAAATGAGTGAGTTTCTAAATTAGTATTTAGTTGCAAAAAAAAGTTCAGAATCAAGCTAAATTTACTGAGAACATACTCTAATTTTCATTTGCAATAATAGAAGTTTTATTTTTTTACATTCACATTTCTGAATTATGGCTTAAAATTTAATATTGGAGCAATAAGTATTTGTTGATTGCAGTCCTTTTTTGCTTTGTCTAAACTATTTGCCAGATGGTTTTCTGCCATGGTTATGCTAACTAAAATGCATTGCCTAATATTGCTTGCTTTGACTCATGTTGTAGCTTGAAGATTTCTCATTTTATGGCATTTGTTAACTGTGTCACTTCTTATTTACCCTACTTCCTTAAAAGTTTTTATTCCCCTTCCTTCTACTACCCCACTTAGATTTGAGTTTGTTTTTGTTGTTATTGCAGTGGTGATGTAATGATTTTTAGACACATGTGCTGGGTGGTTCCCCAGATTCACAAATGTTGCTAATCTGAAAAGAGAATTCCAGACACTTTTACAAGCCTGTCTCATCTCAGCTAATTTTAGAATGATTGTGTTGAATGAAATGTGTCTAAAATTGCTTATTAGTCATGGTGGTGGCAATCTTTCTGTCCTCAGGAAGCAGGAATAGTTAAAATTTTTCACAGAAGTATCTTAGTGTGCCTGATTGAACAAATGTACTGTTATTTATGTTATTTTAATTTGTATCCAAAAGTTGGAACTTGGAATGAAATGAAATTTCAAGTAAATTTGAGCTAAAATTCTGCAGAGAATTCTAAAACATAGTTTAAAATGAAAAAAAGTGATGATATCTTATAAATTTGAGTGTGGCTATAAACTTAAGTTCTTATATTTACTACACATATTACTTCATTAAACTTCATTCTGTTGTAAGGTCCCTTTAGTTTACATGCAAAATAATCAGAGGGTCACATGGATTAAGATGTTAAATTATATTGCTGATTGTTTTTAAAATAAGATTCTTAGGATTATAGAAATATAAATTTTTTTTAAAAGATTTTTATTTATTTATTCATGAGAGACACAGAGAGAGAGGCAGAGACACCAACAGAGAGAGAAGCAGGCTCCATGTAGGGAGCCCAACTTGGGATTCGATTCCAGGTCTCCAGGATCCTGCCCTGGGCTAAAGGCAGGTGCTCAACCGCTGAGCCACCTGGGCAGCCCTAGAAATATAAAATTTTAAGAACAAATTCTGTCTGCTAGTTGGGCCAAAATTTTTAGAGTACATGTTGAGTGCTGCCTACTAGTTGAGAAATTATATAATAGAGCTTTCAGAGTTAAAAGAATTCTGAGTATTTTATCAGCTGTTTCTCACAATATTTTGGTGTTTCCTTTTAGACAGCTGATCTCTCATCTTAGAAGATACCATATAAAAAGCTCTATTCCCAAATAAAAGTACCAAGTGAAACTGTTGCTTAATTCATTCTATTATGCTTATATTTGTAACATTTTTTCATAACTGCTTTTTAGGTTAAGTTATTATTAGCGTGGAAGTTCCTAAAGCAGGATTAACACAATAGCCATCTCAAAAAACGCTGTATATTTGAGAATGGAATGAGGGTCATTCATCTTCAGTAGAAAATTAAAAGTTATTCACCAATAATGAACTACTAGATTCTACAAAGATTAATGGGATTAAGTAAGTGTAACTCAGTATAATAAATTTAAGCCTAAACATCCTTGTAGGCCCTGAAGAACAAGGTACTGTTGTTGGTTAAAGGCAGTCATGTCATACAACTTCCTGGCTAGCTGTCTTGCTGTAGAAACTGTAACGTAAGGCCCTTGAAATAGATGCCATCATCAGCCCCAGCCCACAAGCATTCATCTATTTAAATACATGACAGAAGATGGTGCAAGAGAGTTCAGTAGCTATTCATGTGGAGTAGGAGTGGTTAATTGTATTAGGACCTACTTTGCCGTAGACCAGCAACTTTTGAGTTAAAACTCTGCAGCTGTTTCTCTTCTTTTCCTTACAACATTCTCTTCTTTTTTTTTTTTTTAACAATAAACTAACTTAATTATTTTTTCTACAAACATTTTGTGTAGATCCACGGAGCAACAAATTTCAACTTCCTACTGTAGCAGTAACAACCTTGTTATCTGTTTGAATAGATCTCAGTATTCTACTTTTTTTTTTTTTTTTTTTTTTTTTTATCCTTTAAAAGGCAACGGACAGCCAAGACGTAGATCCATCCAAGACTTGACTGTTACTGGGACAGAACCTGGTCAGGTAAGACCCAACATTTGAACCTTCTGTCTTTGAAGAATAATAATGAGCAGAGATGAAAAGTTAACTATAATGTATACACTCTGCAGAATTAGTTTCCTGAGTTGACCTAAAATCGTAGTAGAGACATTCATTGGCACTTGAATTTAAATACCTTGGAAAAAAGTATATATGCCATTATTAGTTTAACATGAGGGATAATTTATCATAGTAGGTTGATGAATTCAATAGTGCTCCATGTGCATTACATGGTTTCTATATATGATTTAATAAGGAAGTATCAGCCTTGTAATTTAACAGTTTCTTGTTATCCTTGTCCTCAAAAGTTAATCATTAGTGCAGTCTCCTTTTTATGAGGTGAAAAAAAAATTTTTTACTAATTATTAATATTTACTAGTGAATATTTCCACAAGAAAATGTCACTCCTGTGGCATCACATAAGACACTGACAGATCTAGATGACTCTAATATCTTTTAATTTGTTTTGTCTACTGGATTTATATTTTTGTGAAGTATGCTCAAGACATTGCTAAGCAGATGGATAAATTCCAGAAAGGCTTTCATCGCAGTTGCTAAGGTTTTCTTCCTCTTGTATTTCTGGACTTTCTTCTAAACTCCTCTTATCTCTTTATCACTTTCTTTCTAAATGATCCAAACACTGTTCTAATTTAAGCCGTTACTGACTAGCATAGAGTTTTAACCAACAAGTATATACAAGAAGCAGTTTGGCCATTATTTTTTCTGTTATTCAGATCAATATACTGGACATATATAATATGATATTTTTAAAATGAATGAGAACTAATTATGAAGTATTTTTATTTTACTTGTGTTGAAATAAATGTTAGTACAGCATACATCTGAAGTAATAAAAATATCACATTGTGTCATGTAAAATTATAGGATTATATATTATAAACAAAGTGATTTAATTTATGGTAAAATGCACAAGTACTTTTCATTCTAGAAAAGTTTTATTATTATTTAATTTTTATAAATATTTTAAATTTTAAAGAATCTTTGTAGTCATTAAAAATTTGAAAGCCCTTTATGGTCATCAACTTAACTAACAAAAGCACTTGAGATATTTATGGTAAATATCTTTATTCTTTATATCTGGAAATATTTCTATTTCTTACAATACCTATACATATACTCAAACATGCATATATACACAGACACATTATACATATATATTAAGTTATTTTTATATGATATTAAGTAACCCTAAATCTGAAAGTATTATGGATGAATACAGGCATTTTATTTCATTTATTTAATGGGTTTTTTCATTATATTTACTTTTGTAAAACCCCAAAACTTTTGAATGAAATTTTGCACTTTCTCATCCTCAAATACTTCAAGTATTAATGAGGGCATTTAGTAACAGATAGTTTGGCATCTGGTGTTTGCTTTGATTCCTTAGAGGCTTGATGAGCTCAGCCTTTTTAACTTTGTTTACTATTGCCATTGATATTCCAGTTATGAGAAACTCTAGCCAAGTATTCTCCCTTTGACTGGGAATGCAAAGCCTGTTCTAAGGCAGTTCAGGAGCATCTGCTAACGCAAGTGCTTTTCTCTGTACTCTATACTAAAAGCATCACTGTAATTCAGGACTGACCTCACCATACCAAGGCTTCCTTATTTCATCACAGGTTCTATATTACTTGAGATTTTGATTGCTACCCTTTCATACCTTCAGTAGGAAAACACTAGAACTGAGGCAAACTGTGGTTGTGTGACAATCATTGCATGAATTGTCATGGACTACTACAAAAGATTTGGAGCGAGGGGGAATTTGGTGTGGCAGTACAACCTGTTCTAAAACAGATGATATATAGCCATTCTGTAGCCAGTTTTTACATTGATCCATTCTTTCAAAATTACTTAAGTATTATAAACTTAAAATGCTAGTTTGGGATGAGGATGGCAAATAGTAATTCTAATGCACTGTGAAAACATTTTCCTCTGAAGTGTTAGGATAAATGACCATTAAATATTTTTAATTACTCATGAAAATAGCATTAATTATTTGAAAAAGAAAATCATGCACATTATGGATTTTTCAAAATTAAAAGTATAGTTCTTTTTTTTTAAGATTTTATTTATTCATTCATGAGAGACACAGAGAGAGAGAGAGAGAGAGAGAGGCAAAGACACAGGCAGAGGGAGAAGCAGGCTCCACACAGGGAGGCCAATATGGGACTCGATCCCGGGTCTCCAGGATCATGCCCCGGGCTGAAGGCGGCGCTAACCGCTGAGCCACCCGGGCTGTCCAGTATAGTTCTTTAAAAAGTCTGGCTTGGGATCCCTGAGTGGCGCAGCGGTTTGGCGCCTGCCTTTGGCCCAGGGCGCGATCCTGGAGACCCGGGATCGAATCCCACATCGGGCTCCCGGTACATGGAGCCTGCTTCTCCCTCTGCCTATGTCTCTGCCTCTCTCTCTTTCTCTCTCTGTGACTATCATAAATAAATAAAAATTTAAAAAACAAATAAATAAATAAAAGTCTGGCTTAACAGTGATAAAACAGATGCATGGTGGTTTTTTGTTGGTTGGTTGGTTGGTTTTAGCCATGGAATTGATAAAGAACATGAAGAAAAATATTTGCCCACCTAGTACAATCATCAGAGGAAGAGAGAAGACTTATTAATAAAGTTTAATATTATATCTCATTAGAGGAGAGTGAACTGATTGGAGTTTATACTTTGGCTCTTGATTCAAGATTGACCTTAAAGTCCTTTAGACTTTACATCTGTAAATTAAAATTAGATATTTTTTTATACTGCCATTGCTAGAGTGGAATAGTGAAAGAAGCAAGCACCCCGCCAGTCAGGCCTTTAATACATGTTATTTAAGTTGTAACCCTGAAAATTTCATACTTTTATTTTCCTCATTTTGCAGATGAATAAACTGAAAATTAGAGAAACTTTCCAAAGTCTCTTCCCTTGTACTACCAGTAATTGCTATAACCAGGTTATGAATCCAGACCTGATTCCAAAACACACAAACTACACTCTGTCATTCTGTCTTGCATGTAGAACTGAATGTATTCCATGCTAAAGTAGTCCTACATCTCTCCAATTTCAAGTGTTTTGACTTCTGATAGTCTGCATTATCATTATTTAAGTAGTTTTCAGTGATAAGTTTTAGCTTGTATTATATTATTGAGCAAGGCAAATTCACCTTGATAATAAATTCCTGCAGATGTCTACACAGTTATTTATTATATATCTGGATGAGCCTTTCTATGTTTCACTAAAATTACACATTTTTTGTGCATGTCTGCATGCCCTTTCTGGAGTTGTATCCAATATAGATCTGTTTTCTGGAAGTCTCTTGGTGAGGACACCAGTCAGTGAAAAATCATGACCATAAAATGATGCAATTATTATTGTTTAGAGAATGAGAATACTGTATTTTTATATGGACTTTAGAATATACTTTTATTAGATATGTGACACTAGATAAGTTCTTTTATTTCCCCAAGCTTCAGCAATCTTATGTACCAGTGGGGACCATAACACCCACCTCTTGGGGTTCTTACAGACACACTGTAGATGCTTAATTATGTATACCTGCTTCCCTATAGTGTACCTGCCAAGGTTCTTACCACTTCCTTGTTCTCAGTATAGTATATTGCTATCCAGAAAACAAAAATACCACTGGGAAAGAAGTAAAATCCCATTGGCATTCAGTTCTTTTATATTGTAAAAGAAGTTTGTGTTAGGGGTCATAAAAAGTATTTGCCTTAAAGGCCTTTTATCACATATCAGTTGTTACTTATTTAAGGAATATAATTTTTTATACTACTTCTTTTATCTGTCCTCAGTCTGCACCTCCTTCAGTGCAAATAATTTTCTGTTAAAGCTCTAAATCAGAGGCTTATGTAGTAAGAATAATAAATTTCCAAGAATTTAGAAGAAGGTAAAGAATAAGAATAATAAAGTTCCAAAATTTCCTTATAATGAACTATAGTGAAGCTAAAATTAGTTTGATCCTATACCTTCAGATTAGAAAGAATGTTTTCAGTATTATCTGTTATGTATAGATTTAATTGAATTATCTGTGACTGTCATAATGGAGGAAGTGCCCTTGTAAATCCACATCACCAACTTGATACCCATTTCTTTTTAATGCTATTATTCAGATGTTACTTCAGCAAAATTATCAAATCAACATTTAATCTCTGTGTTTTGTGCTTGTATAAATTTAGCAACTGAGGGCTTTAAATAGCTCTTAAATTTGTCAGTCTAAATAGTAGCACTGGCCATAAATTTTGACTTATGAAAATATTTTCCCATTCAGGTGAGATATAAAAAGCAAAGCTTTATTTATGTCTGTAAAATAACTCCCAATTCCTTTTTATAAATACAGAGATAAAGTTCTGTGCAAAGTCCAATTCTGCTTCATGTCTACTGGTTGTAATTTGCCCTCTGGTTTAAATTTGGCTTCGTATTCTTTTGCTGCCTTAAATTGCAGTGTGGCATTCTGTACTCTTGTAACCATTTTCATATCCAATCCTTGTGGTAAGTCAAGTTTCTCTATCTCTCTTAAACTTTACAATCTATTCTATAAGAATAGGATAAAGTAATTGTAAATGTCTTGAAGAAAGGAGCAACTCAAATGAGTTTTGATAGTTTGAGAGCATACATGACCATAAGAATTTGACCAATGATTTTTTTTAAGTAGCTACTATAAAGTAAGACTTCTTAAGTAGTTTGCTAATAGTAACATAAATTTAATCCATAAACTAGCTCAACTTTTTTAAATTCTCAAATGTTACCTGATCCTCTTTTTTATACCTTATATTTTTCAGGTGTTAAAGAAATACAGTTATGGCTTGTTTTTAAATATTTCTTTAGTTTTTTTTAATATGAACATTTTAGCATATTGTGATTCATCAAAAAACTAATTTCTTGAAATATAAAGACTTAGTTAATTTATGGATATAAATTTAGCTCATGATGGCTCCGAAAGACTGAGTTACTTATTCAAGTTCACAC